TACTACAGGGCTCAGCAGAGGAGAAGATGATAAAGACAGACCAAGAAATAGCTGGACACAGAATTGAGCTAAATTAACAGGCCTCAAATTTGCAAACATCAAGTCCGCTGCAAGCTGATTGACAGGTGGAGGCAGCTGCGAGCAGTCAGCAGCAACTGGTCAACCAACAGTGTTATGGGACTTTCATGGTTATGAACTAACATACAACATTATCAGTTAATAATTAACAAATTATGGTGCCTGATAAATAATTGTAATGACAAATGTCTTTATCCCCAGTTCTGGGAAGTCATATCCGAGCACGATCGAGCACGTTAACGAGAGCAAGGCACTCTTGCACCCCCAACCGGGAGTTACCATGGAGACAGTGATCTTCAGTTGGAGAGGATCAACGTTTACTACAATACTGTAGCCACGGGGAGGGAAGTATGTCCCGCGTGCCATCTTGGTTGATTCTGGACACCAGGCCACCATGGACAGTGTCCGCCTCAGGTCCATTTTGGTCAGATCTTCCGTCCAGACAACTTCGTCTTTGGTCAATCTGGGGGCTGGGGCTGGAAACAACTGGGCTAAGGGGACATTACACAGAAGGAGCTCGAAAGCTGAATTGGTAGATTCTGTTCTAGATGTGGTTAGAAAGGAAGCTGAAGGCTGTGACTGTCTCCAGGGTAAGTTGTACTAGCATTGAGAAACTATGTTGAGGATATTGGTGGAGGTGGCGACAGAGGGAAAATCTTGGCTTGAGTTGACTGAGAAGTTATGATCCGTTGGTGAATAACATGCAAAGGAAATATTAGTAGTAATAGTTATAGCAGAAGTGGTGGCAGCAGAGGAACAAGTAGAAGAAAAAGGAGGAGACGGATGGAAAGAAAAAAGGACAAGGAGCAGATCTTCTTCACTGGCTGTGAACTCCAGCAGAAGCTTTTGGCTGTTCATCCACTTCTAGACTCTAGTCCTGTTCCAGAAACTGAGTGTTGCATGCATATCCATTTTCACAGGTCTGACTCATTTTCATGCAGACGATTCCTTGACTCTCAGGCAGATGCACTCCGACTTCAAAATAAACTCTGTTAGTTGACTCTTACAACATACTTTCGACAGGCAGTGTGTCTATTCTTGTTTTCCCCAGAATGGAACTCCAGAACACACACAGGGAAACAAGGAGCAGATGATGATGATGACAGTAATGATGATGATGACAGTAATGATGATGATGATGATAATCAGTGCCATCAGTCGTGGAGAGCTGGGAAAGTAACCTTGGCAACAAGTGTCTGATATATCATTTGAAAGGCGCAAATATCATAGTCGTTCTGTCCTTCTTCTCTTCCACCTTGTACCTCATCGAAGTGTCAGGGGGGAAGATGTAATGTTCGTTGATGAACTCTGTCAAGAGCACTATTAACACTGATGTTCATTTTCTGTAAGGCTGTTCTTAATGCCATCGCTCCATATTTTCCGAGGTCTTCCACTCGCTCTATACCTGTTGTAAAGTTTTAGTGTGGCTCGTTGTGGCGGATAGTACCAGGGCATTCTTGTTAGGTGTCCAAACCACTTCATTTGTTGTTCTTTGATGACCTGTAAGACTGGCTTTATTCCTAGCATTCGTCTGATTTCACGATTTCAAATTCTGTCTTTCCTTAACTCCTGCAGCTCTTCTAAGGCATTTCATCTCTGTTGTCACAATTTTATGTTCATTGGAGGATGTAAGTGTCCACGATTGGCATTGATAGCATAGTGTTGGCCAAAAAATAGTTCTGATATGATTCACTTTAATACTCTGCTTGTGTGTCAACAGGGGAGATAGTTGACCCATTACTTGATTAGCTTTGGCACATCTGGAGCCAATTTCTCTGTCCAGTTTTCCGTCTGATGTAAAAATTGCTCCCAAATACTTTAAATTCCTCTGTTTGTCTCAGGGTGTTGTTTTTTAATTTAATTTCTAAATTGTCTTTATGTCTTTCTGTAATCATTGTCTCTGTCTTCGTAGTGTTTATTTTCATATTATATTCCTCCCCTTTGTTACTAATTTGATTTAGGTTGTTCTGTAGGCATTCCGTATTTTCTGCTATGAGTACCTGGTCTTCGGCGAAAAGTAATTCTGTAATATCTTCTTCATGATTAAAGTTAGTTTCGCTACATATGATATCCATGTATGTTATAAAAAGAAGCGGCGATAGTACACAGCCCTGACGCACACCAGAGTTCACTATAAAAGTTCTTGACAACGCTGCCTTCGATCTTATGCAGCATTTACTACGTGTGTACAGGCTTTTGCAAATATTAATGAGATGATTGCTGATTCCTTTTTTTCCCCATACATTCCTACAACATATTCCTGTCGACTCTATCGAAAGCTATTTCTTGGTCTATGAATGTCAACAAACATGTCTTATCATGTTCTATTGCCCTCTCTGATATAGTCGTTTTGTAAATGTGCATATCACAATTACATCATCGAATGAACGAAGAAGAATAATAAGATCAATACTATCGATTATAGATAGAGAGAGAACTAACACATTTATGTTTTAAAATACACTCATATCGTTCTTACTTTAAATAGCAGCCATAATGTCCATGCAACACAGCATGCAAAACCTATGGCATACATTCTGCAGGTGGCTTTAAGTAAAAATATTCAGATCATACATTCTGTGGCAACTTATGGTTGTCAGTCAAGACTTACTCAATCTTTAAAGGAAACAAATTTGAGCTTTTGAACTAAAATGCTACAGAAAAATTCTTAGAATACGGCGGGCAAAGAAGAAGAAATAATCGACAATTCACACTATCTGCGCATTGAGGAGAATTGACTGATATACAGCATCCTGTCCCGAAAGCTGAAATATTTTTGTCAAGGTAACCTGCCTGGAAAGAGGGGGGGGGGGGGGCAGTTTCAGAAAACGAGGCAGAGGCCGACCTTCGAGAAAGTAGATACAAGTTATTGAAGGCACAATGGTTATGAAAGAACACAGGCTGTAGAATTGTTAAGACAAAGAGAGACTTCATGTTTGCCGTGAAGAGAGTGACCTTCGGTAAAGGACCTGCTGTTTGATGATGATGATATATATAACGGGCTGCATTAGCGCAGTTGATAGGAGACTCTTTCAAATCCAGCTGCAACTCACTGCAGCCACGATGCACCAAATCACATTTTTCAAACCGTCGGCTCGTTCCCAGGCGCGTGGTGCATCCTCGTTAGCGGGCCACCATCCCAGCCGGCTTCGGATGTAGAGGGGGACAAGGTGCCGATATTCTGTGTGTGTGCCGCAGTTCGCTGCCACGGTCGCGGTGTGAGCGAACGAAAGTGTCCGTTACGGTGGTTCCGACGAAGGTCTCGCTAAAGGCCCGCTCTCTCTCGACGAGTTGCGGGCCAGCATTCGGTAAGCTGGCATAGCTTTTTTCGGTCAGTCCTGCCGGCGCGGCTCGTCGGCAGGCGTCCAGTGGTGTCGCATGCATCACCGGGTTTTGCGGGGAGGACGATGTTCTCCCCGGCCCATGGTGCTCGTGAAAACGTCCAATTCTGTCCGACAGATATCTGGTTGATCCTGCCAGTAGTCATATGCTTGTCTCAACTCTTGGTTAAAATTCGGGAGCGAATGGAAAACTGTGCTGCTGAGACTCAACCCTGACCGAGAGATTTACCCGCAGCCAAGACGAGTAACATCTCTTGTGGGCGACTTCTCGCAGCAAGATCCCACCTACGTACATCCTCTGTCAGTCCTCAATGTCGTCGTCACCGCGCTCAGGTACACCATGGCAGCAACTATTCATATGCTGGCTTGAAAACAATGTCCGACAAAGTTACACCCCACGGCACACATGCAAGCTCAAAGTCCGACGATCATAACTCGTACCGATTAGGAAAAGTCTGAATGTCCGTATCCACTGGTCCAACTCGCTCGAGTGTTGGGACCAAACAGGTGAAGCCATGCCTGACGCATTTTGCTTCCCCATTCTGTCGTGCTAAGGGCACAGCTGAAACAACGTTAAAGGTGTCTAACGTAAGATGAAGAAGAATGTACCTATTTGTGTGGCCACAAACGTCCTAGACCTGCGGGCTGCTCCCCGCTGATCTCCGGAGAGCGCAGCCTTGTAGCGCGGGAAGCTCAATACACGGTTGTGAGGTTAAGCAGTCATGGGCAGGACGTGACGATTCCTTGGGTGAGCCCAGAACCAGAGCATCATGTGTCGGCTCTGCATTTATGGAAGCCTCCTTGGATGGCGGGGAATGCCCATGATCTGCCCCTGCCTTCCCTTGAGGGCTGAAAACTCTACATAGAGCTGCCTTAAGGACGACATGCCGGGGGCCACACTTGTTAAAAGTCAAAGAGGACACCACACAAATAAGGCAACATCTCGACCCACACAAAACAATGGCCACAGTCAACCTAGAAATAGGCTTGACGTCTTCCTCCGAAGTCGGAGTACATCTGCCTGAGAGGCGGGGAACGAGTACTGCAAACAAATAAGCCAGTAAAACGGATGTACACGCAAAACTCAGGTCAAGGTAAAAGCCAAAAGTCCATTTTGGACGAACAACCGTGACTTACCGCCGGAATTCACAGCCGGTGAACAAGAAGAAGAAGAAGAATAACTGACTTCTCTTACCTGGATCAGCTACACACCTGGGCATGTCGAAGAAATAAGCAGTGAACAAGCGAATCAGCTGGCAAGTATTGCACCAACCACTGCATACGGCAAGATGCATGGACATAGCTACATCAACCTACCCTATACAGACTAAAATGGCAGATAGTAACATATCTCAGATGTTAACATGATTGCACGAGTTGGAAGTGAAGCATGACTGTGCTGACTTCAAGGTCAAGTATGAGACATTATAACCATCATCATCATATGTCATGCCGATAACTGTAGGCTGTCGTGTCTGGCTAAGTTTTCTCTGGAGTTTACTGCTGGTGAATGTAAAGAAAAGAGAAGTTAGCAACATATGTAATAACAATAACCAACACTTTCTATTTTTCTGTTACCAGGTGTCAGACACCGTGGTGGAGCCTTACAATGCAACACTGTCAGTGCATCAGTTGGTAGAAAACACAGATGAGACATTTTGTATTGACAATGAGGCTCTCTACGACATCTGCTTCCGAACCCTGAAACTGACCACTCCAACCTACGGTGACCTCAACCATCTGGTCAGTGCCACTATGTCTGGTGTCACCACCTGTCTCCGGTTTCCTGGTCAGTTGAATGCGGATTTGAGGAAACTGGCTGTTAACATGGTGCCATTCCCACGTCTGCATTTCTTCATGCCTGGGTTCGCTCCACTTACCTCCAGAGGAAGCCAGCAGTACAGGTAAATATAACCTTTCCTTTTCTTCCGCGTTAGCGCAGTCGATTAGAGGCTATCTTTCAAATCCAGCTGCGACTCGCTGCAGCCCACGGTCGGTGTTCGAAACCCGGCGGCTCCCAGGGTTCACCCAACCTCTAGGAAATGGGGACCAGAGTGATACTCTGGGGTAAATGGAGGAACGTCGCTGTAGCTACAGAGTTAAGTGCGAACGGCTACACAGGCGGGCAATTCTTATCAGCTGTCCGTACTGGTGGCAGAGCACTTATGGTTTATAACCGTGTGCAGTGACGCTGGTTCACACCTCCCGACTTTACCTTTACCTTTTCTTCTTCTCATGTGAGTAAGTAAAGCAAAGAATGTTTATGCTAGTTTCATATTTGTATATCCCCCTGTGGGTTACTGGGCCCTATTGTGGGGAAAACAAGAATAGACCCACTGCCTGCCCAAAAGCATGTAGAGTAGACTAAATAGGAGCTTTCTTCGAAGTCAGAGTACATCTGCCTGAAAGGCAAGGAACCAACAGTCTGCATGCAAATGAGTCAGACCTGTGAAATTGATGTGCAAGCAACACATCAAGCCAGCCGCTTTTATTTCCAAGGACATTGCCTGGTATCCAGTTTAGGCTTGATGACCTCGGAGCCCAGGTCAATTTTGAAGAAAAAAATCCAACTTTAAGGCCTGTCCCACCTTACCTATGCATTTTATTCATTCCTTCACTCATTCATTCATTGTCCTATTGTGCCATTTTCTGTCACATAGGGCTCACAGTTTGTTTTTTCTATTCCCTTTAATCCTGTACTGTCACCTAGGTTTTATGAATGGAATCCAGTCCACCACCTTTGACCTCTAACCTTTTGGGAAAAGTTCATTTGTTCGCTCATCTGCATTCTTCATATAATTTCTCTTGGAAGTTTTCATGTCCTCAATTCATAGATTTCCCCTTTCACCGGCCGCTGGGTGATTCTCTATTCATCTCTTTTCAGAATAGGTCAAATATAGTGCCATCTTTTCTGCCTTATAATTTATACAGTGTAACCTTTTTTCTTTTTCTTTGTGTTCACCAGCTGTAAACTTTGGCGGAAAGTTCTGGTTGTTTATCCACTTTTGGACTGCAGTCCTGTTCCAGAACCTAAGTGTTGCGTGTGCATCTGTTTTACAGATCTGACTTATTTGTATGCAGACTGCTGGTTCCTTGCCTCTCATTCAGATGCACTCTGACTTTAAATGAAGCTCCGGATTAGTTGACTCTTACAACATGCTATTGGGTAGGCAGTCGCTCTGTTCTTGTTTTCTTTCTAATAGGGCCCTGGAACCCACACGGGGAAACTTGTAACCTTTGTTTTGCTAGACAGATATTATTACATATGTTGAAGTGTCTTTTTTTTTCCTCTCCACAAATGAAGAGCTCTGACTGTCCCAGAACTGACGCAACAGATGTTCGATGCCAAGAACATGATGGCCGCATGTGACCCACGTCACGGACGTTACTTGACTGTTGCAGCCATATTTCGGGGTCGCATGTCCATGAAGGAAGTGGACGAGCAGATGTTGAATGTCCAGAACAAGAACTCCTCCTATTTCGTGGAGTGGATCCCCAACAACGTGAAGACAGCAGTTTGTGACATTCCACCCCGTGGTCTCAAGGTCAGTATACTGTGCTAGTGCTCCAACATTAAGTAGAACTACTACTTCTTCTTCGCGTTCACCAGCTGTAAACTCTGGCAGAAAGTCCTGGTCGTTCATCTACTTTTGGACTGTAGCCCTGTTCCTGAACCTGAGTGTTGCTTGTGCATCCGTTTTACAGATCTGATTAATTTGTATGCAAACTTCTGGTTCCTTGCCTCTCAGGCAGATGCACTCCGACTTTGAAGGAAGCTCCTGATTAGTCAACCCTTACGACATGCTTTTGGGTAGGCAGTGGGTCTATCCTTGTTTTCCCTATAATAGGGTCCCTGAACCCACATGGGGACTCAGCAGAACTAGAATTAGATATCATCATCGCCATCTGCTCCTAGAAGGTGAGGCACCTTGTGTTTACAGCTATGCGTTATATGTACCTTTTGGTCCGACACATCTGATTTAAAAAAATAATTAATGAGTCGCCTTGAGAGGGACTGTGGATCCCATATGAGGAGATCCAGGCAGCGTCATATTGGATTTAATCCTTTCTATTTCCAAACGACATTAATTTTTAATGTTCGTGGTATATGTATGGTCATAAAGGCTATTTCTTCCTTATCCGCAAAGGTTAAGCATTGTATCCACTGTCTCAGGATAAGGGGAAACTTTACAGTCCACACCATAAATCAAAGCAGTTATTCCTTTTAATAACCCGACTGTAAAGACAGCATTGGCAGTTACTAATAAACCACAGACATTCATTAACTGGTGCCTGCACAGAACAGATGGAATGGTATCATAGAATCTTTAATGTAAAGCTTTGAGAGGGAAATAAACAAGTTCCTATGGACAAGAGGTGAAGAAAAGACGCTGGCATTGGAGAGGACACACGTTGAGAAACCTGACAACAAATAACTAGAATGTATTTGCACTGGAACCCACAGGGGCACAGAAATAAAGGAAGAGCAAAAAAAAGCATAGAGAAGGAGAGTGGAGTTAAAAAGATGAGGAAGACATGGGGACAGGTTAGATGAGGGCCTATACTGCATTGGGGGTTAAAAGGCCCCAAAAAAATAGAGAAGAAGAAACTCCCACTTGTTTCGCTGAATGCCCTATAATTATTTTTATATTTGTATGACATTTAATGTGGTCTCTTTTTTTTTTCTATGTAAGTCACTGTAACCTAATTGTAATGTTTCATCACCAGATGAGCGCCACTTTCATTGGCAACAGCACCGCAATCCAGGAGCTCTTCAAACGTATCTCCGAGCAGTTCACGGCCATGTTCCGCCGCAAGGCTTTCCTCCATTGGTACACCGGCGAGGGTATGGATGAGATGGAATTCACAGAGGCCGAGTCCAACATGAACGACTTGGTTTCTGAGTATCAGCAGTACCAGGATGCCACCGCTGAAGACGAGGGCGAGTTTGAAGAAGAGGACGAACAGGAAGAGGCATAACTCTTTCTGTCCTAAGAAATACCCCAGTGGGATGCAGATAGTGTTTCTAAACTTTTTTCGCCGTGGCACCTTTGTCAAGTAAATATTTTGCGGCACACCTACCCCTAAAGTGGTTTGAATATTTAGGGAAAAAAGAAAAAACTGCAGATTTAATGTTCATTTTGTCTTTAATGCGATGAATTAAACTGTTTGGGTGAATTTTTTCATTATTATCTTTATGTTCATGGGAAGTTTAGTTAATTGTACCCTCAGATCAATTGAAGGTTGCTCCTGTATCTGTTTTTTAATGTAAGATACGTTGAGAATGCACTGCAGCTTTGCAAATAGCATTGTTTTCTGAATACACCTGCATCCAGAACTCTTCTTGGCCCCCTTTGTGGTATTTTTGTTTTAAACTGCTGGCTTCGCTGATCTCAAGCAGATTTTGAAAAATTCTTGATAATTGCTTTGGCACCCCTGGCATACGCTTGCGGCACCCACTTTGAGAACCGCTGATGCAGATAGTATACAGGGGTACTAAGAAATGCATGTTAGACCTGTGGTATGAACATCAGTCAGTCTGTCAGGAACCGTCTCCCTTATTAAAGTTGGCTGCAGCGGATCTGTTAGATATTCAGTCTTTCGCCCTGAATTTATAGTTTCTTAGATTGCAGTTCATCTATTGCTTCAAGTTATCATCCCATGTGTACTGCTGTTTGCCTCTTTATCATTAAAAAAAAAAAAACCACATCTTTGCACATAATTTTTTTTTTACTAATCCGCAACTTTCCATGATTCAGTTTTGTAAATCAGAATTTTAATTATTTGGTTCTTGACAACTTTTCTCCCCACCCCAGCTGATAAAAGAAGACAACTTTTCTCCCCACCTCAGCTGATAAAAGAAGATTCCGGAGGATATTCTGTATTTTTACTGTTACTTCAAGATAAGGAAATATTATTAAGTAAACCATTATATTCTTTACTGAAACCATGAATTCGCTCTATAAATACGATTATTACTACCTTTAAAGAATGGAATTGACCCGTGATATTATTCTATTGTAAACTGAGAAAGGAATTTGCCTCATTATGTTAATCATACTTCTCATTTTAACATGAAATTTGTTGCCAGTGATAAAATTAATTTTGGTCTGAAAAACATGAATTTGCATCATTTTACAACTAATTTGGAAATATATTTGTCAGTGGTGTCAGTTTATAGGTTTCTTTCAAGTTAAATTATCTCAAATACATTACTATATTGTTTAATTTAAAATATAAAATAGCCACATTAACATCTACAGTATTTAAAAGCAACTTAAATTCGTGTAATTGATACAGTAAAATTATTAAAGAGTTAACTTTAAAACATTACATTTAAGAATACCAATGAGAATGCACTGGTACCAACTGCCACTAGGAGTCATGCTAATGATATATATAACGAATGTGGAGCAAAGCAAAGACCATGAAAAGACCAGGCTTAATGGCATCAAGAACAGATTTTAAAAAATGAAGTTCAACTTATGCAATGCATTAAAAAGAGCATACAGGGGAACCTCAGCCTCCGCCCCTCTTCAGTGATGTAACTGGAGAAAGAGTAGATTTGAAAAGACCCGTTTTTATACTAAGATACAAATCTTCAGCAAAATAGTCATGTGACATTAAAATGTTGCCAGTTTGGCTTTAACAGTTATATTTGCCATTTTCAATGATAGCAATTCAAAATTTCAATGTCAAATTAGTTTGTTTGAATACAATGTAAAAAGTCGGGTTTCGATCAATGTCACTGAAATTTATTACAATTCAAATATTAAACAAACCTTTTTTTTTTTCAGTCTTATATGTAAAAGTTTTACAGAAATAAAAAAATGTTCTCTGCATGTGTAATGAAGTTGTGAGTCCCTACTCCCCTCTTCTGTCTGGCTGTCTCTGTCTTTATCTCTCTCTTTCTCTCTCTGTGTCTCTCTCTTTCTCTCTCTCTCTCTCTCTCTCTCTCTCTATATATATATATATATATATATATATATGTGTGTGCACATACCATGAAGTTGGTGGCAAGGCGCCCGCCTGCAGATCTGAAGGTCAAGGGCTTGCGTCCTATCAGAGGCAAAGTGGGTACCAGATGCAGTCCTGGGAAGTAAAGGTAGCTGGCGTGATGCTGACCACATCACCCACCAAGTATCGATTGGTCTATAAAAAAAATAAAGGCCTAGCCCTATATGCCCAATACTCCTGAAGGCGTAGAAAAGGAACATTTAGTTGTATATACACATGCCTCTCTATCTCTGTGTGTGTATATCTGTCGACCTCTCTTACATCTAGTATGTCTCTTGTGCCTGCTTATGTCAGCTCTTACATTTAGTATGTCTCTTGTGCCTGTTTATGTCAGCTCTTACATCTAGTATGTCTCTTGTGCCTGTTTATGTCAGCTTTTACTTTGTCATTATTAGGGACACCATTTCCCCCCATACACCCCTAGCATTCGGGGGGGGGGGGGGGGGGGTAATTAAAAAGAGGACAAAAAAGAAAAGTCTCAACAGTTACCAACATCTTGGAGAGAAACATCCCCATAAATCTTCTTCACTTCCTATTTTACCGCTGTGGGTGTCGAGGGAGATTTAAGGTTCGGTGTCTAGCTCTTCTGGCTGCCTCGACCATAGGCACATCGTGCTGTTGTAGAGTTTCTCTGATGTTATCCTTTCAGCTTGTTCTACCTCATGCTCTACGTCCTTCTCTTACCATGTATGCTTTGTATGGTATGGTGTCACAAGGCATTCTCTCTAAGTGGGCTCCCCATAAATCAAAGAGTTAAATAACAAGAGAAAGTCACACGGCTGTCCCCAGGTGTGTGTGTACTGAATGATTTCTCCCCACCCCCCTCTCCCTACAGCGGGCAGTTAGTGAAGGTTTAACACTGCAATGATCCCACCTCAATCTGGACGGAAAACACAGAAAATAGCGGACAACCCCGTTCGACTTTCAAAGAAGTGACATTTGGAGCACCTACACCAGGCTGGTGTCCGTTACAGCCAAGGACCCTTTTCGCGCCAATGGAACAGCGGGCATATGATGCCAGACTCAGTTTTATAGACCAATCAGCATTTGATGGGCGACACCACGCTGGCCGCCTTGTCTTCCCATAACTCCTCCTGGTATTAGTTTTAGGCTGGGTCGACCAGGGACATTTTATGAAACACATCCTACTCTGTGAATTTTAACACAAGACCCTCAGATCCACAGGCGAGCGTGTAGCTACTAGACCACTGTGGTTACCATATAACCTCTAGTATAATAAACAAATTGACTTACACTGATGGGCACTCACTGAAGGAAGCTGGGAGTTAAGAGAAGATATGGTAGGAGAATATAAGGTTACCAGTGCAACCTGCAGTCCTATGCTGGTAAGGAAGCTCAGACACAGAAATGTTTACTTTAAAAGGATGGAACAATGTACATTGCAAGTATTAATCTCGACATTCCCTGTGGTATGCAAATTTTAGTTACTTTGAAGCCCCGCTCTGGCTTTTGCCGGTCCTGAAATATAGTCGGGTCTGATGTTTTGAACAACGGATCAACATCATGGCACACGGGTAGTGACCCATAAGTGCTTCGTTCTTCTTCCAACTCAAGTCTGAGTCCGAAGAAGTTCAGCACTGTGCACAGGCTCTGTAGCACCGGCGAGGATCCTGAAATACTTTGACACGATTTTTAACTCCAAATTTTGCCCGGGCAGCGCCTTTAGGCTACTCTTTTCGTTTTCCAACTGAAAAAGGGCTTTTTTACGTGCGCAGTAATGCACACGGGCGTCTGATCTCACTACCCAGCGACCAGGGAGAATTACTAGAAGTTGTAGTCCACGTGAAAAAATCTCTGACGGGTCTGAAATATGGCCTAACAGCTGAACGGGATTTCCAGGACCTCTCCACGGGTTATCCTCATCCGCATGGTGGCACTTTGTGTCACCAGGTGTTTATCGCTTGTGTGATGTCCTGGTGTGATAAAACTTGCCTACCTACCTACATTGCAAGTATATTGATTGATTTGATTCAATAACCGACATCACAGCACTCGGGGCATTTCCATAAGCGATCCGTCCCCATCTTTAGCAGCCAGCGAAGAGTTCCGATACTAATGGTGCCAGTAGCATTCTGATTAAACGTCCGTCTTGCTTTTCCTTTGAGCCTCGAGCATCTGCCGGAACCTCTCGTCACTCTCTCCTGCATCAATCTCACCAGACTGTGGTGATCCATCTGCTCCTCCGAACTCTACACGCTTTCCCACAAGGCGCTAACCACGTCTGCCTTATCATGTATCAGTATTCTACCAAGTGCAGAGCCAGCCAGTCTGTCCGCCTGTTCATTTCCTAACACACCAGCGGCATGCCCCGGTGAAAAAAAATCCAGACAATACTCCTCACCCGTCTCCTTCGCAGCGAAGCATGCCACTCTGCACGAAGCATGCCTGTCCCAATATCTACGATATAAGAATTAACAACTGTTTAGGGACATTTCAAAGCATAAAGACAAGGATGTGTACTGTCATCTTATTTGTTTTCAATATACAGTGAAAATATAATGAGATCTTTAATTGATATGCCCGGAATTGTAGTTGGTGGGCACAATATAAACAATTTATGTTATGCTGATGACACAGTCTTGATAGCAACAAGTCAGAAAGAACTACAGGAAATGATAGACATTGTGGTGTTAGAAAGTGGAAGAATGGGCCTCAGTTTGAATAATGGGAAGACAGAAGTAATGGTGGTATCAAAGAAACGAATTATTCCTAAATGTGTAATAAAAGTCGATGGTGTTGTTTTAGGACAAGTACAGACATTTAAGTATCTGGGCACATGGATAACATCAGATGGAAGATGCATAACTGAGATAAGAAACAGAATAGGACAGGCAAAAACTGAATTTTATGAAATGAAAAACATCTTGTGCAATATATCCTTGTCATTGAGAGTTAGACAAAGAATTCTTGCTTCTACATACATTTAGTTTCAACATATGGCTGTGAATCCTGGACAAACAATTTCTTGAGGCCTCAGAGATGTGGTTTTATAGAAGAATGCTTAGAATACATTGGGACTCCGAATTATTGACACTCAATGTGTCAACATCCATCCCGAACCTGGGAAACAAAGATGCTGAGCCCGCTTTAGTGAAGAAAGCACTCACAATGGAACACCTCAACAACATGTTCCCACAGGACAGCTGGACGACAATCTACACGGGTGGATCAGCAAAAGAGGCAACTACGAATGGTGGGGCAGGTGTTTACATAAAACACCCAGATGCCACTACTGTGTCCCTAGCAGCCCCCACCGGACGAACTTGCTCTAACTACAACGCAGAACTCTCAGCCCTATTGATGACAGCACAGTATATGAACAATCTGCAAATTACCGCAGGCAGGATAGTTTTTCTCACTGACTCACTGTCAGCTATACAGGCCCTTGAGTCCAAACCTACCGACAGCACACTACAAAGTCTAACACAGGAACTTGCTATGTTGTCAAATAAGGCAGAAATTCACTTACAGTGGATTCCGTCTCACTGTGGCATCAAAGGCAATGAAAGCACAGATGCTTTAGCAAAGGAAGGCAGTAACAAACCACAGACCTACCAGCCACTATCTTTTCCAGAAGTCAAAACTCTCATTAAGAGAAGATCAGAAACAGATTGGAAAACCAACACTGGTTATAACTACGAAAAAGATTTTCTGAAACACTTGAACAGAACAGACCAAGTCACAGTTTTTCGCTTACGCACTGGACACTGCAGACTCAATAAACATTCACATAAATTAGGTATGAGCCAAACAGCTCTCTGCCGGTGCCTTCGTGCTGAACAGACTCCAGAACATGTCCTGCAAGACTGTCCTCTCCTGGCAGAGCTGCGGAGCGACACATGGCAACACCCAGTAGAACTGACAACTAAGCTTTGGGGAAACCTAAGAGACCTTGAAAAGACATCCCAGTTTATGACCCACAGTGGATTATGCGCATGACCAGAGATCGCTGAAGAAGAAGAAGAATACATTGGACAGCCAAAAAGAGCAACCAATAGGTTTTGAAAGAGGCGGGAGCCCGAAGACAACTTATCACAGACATCAGAAGGAGACAGTCATCATTTTTCGGCCATATTATGAGAAGAAGGAAAATAGAACATGTTGTGACCGCTAGATCTGTGGAAGGAGGGATAGAGGAAGACAACGTGAGAAGATGCACACGAACGGATACATGCTGCAGGAGATCGCAGATTATGGAGAGGCATGATCGTCCACGTCAGTCGGCAAGGCACCTGATGATGATGATGATACAGGACTTTTAAAAAAAACAGAACGTCTACACGTTGTTGGGGTGGGGGGGGGTGGTGACCTAAACCCCGCCCCAAAAAACTATATTTGAAAGACCTCACCTCGTTACCTAAGCCTCCAGATAACCACACCCATGTGCAATAGGATGTTATCGATCTAGTGAGATCGATACAAACGATCAATAAGTAAGAAGTTTGTGTCGTTTCCCCTCGGAAGGGACATTCCGGCGGACACTTTTTAGAAACCTGTTGCTTGCAGCGTTGCTGCAGGTCTGCTGGCCAATGGCTTCCCTTTGTGGACTAGTTGCTTTGTAGCCATTCCACACTTGAACGCTTTTTAATGACAGTTGTATGCCTTGGAAATGTTTCGTACAAACCAAACATGCAGATAACAGTAGCTACTTTATCAGACCAGCTATTTACTATCCAAGTAAGCGAGGATCTGGAGCTGGAGAACATGAAAGTTTTGTGCGAGATGGAGACACGCATCCCGGCTCAAGAGATGGCTGTTGTCTGGAACGGGCGTCCTCTTCTTATTGATAAAATGACACTAAAGCAATACGGAATCAGGGACGGCGAAGTTGTTCTGGTTCAACATTTACAAGCGCAGAACAGTTCAAGTGGAGGTTTGCAAGGTACATGTAACTGTTTCAGCAAATGTAGTCGTATACACTTTTAGGCTCTCCTGTAAACTACGGCCAGTAGACAACGTTTGAGTTTGACGGCCGGTTAGTCGGAGTTATGTCCCTTGGCTGCAGTGCAATTACGGACTGGAGAAGGCACGAATCAAATGACATAATTACTGTGTGTTGGCGATAGACAGCATGCAGTGACCTGCTGTCATCATACGGTTAGGTGTAGGGTTAGGGTTAGTCTTACGGTTAGTGTCGCCGCATCTCGTCTTTGCAAAATCTCAACATCGCAGCCCTAACCCTAATCCTAACCGTATGATGACAGTAGGGCACTACACGCTGTCTATCGCCAACACACAGTAATTATGTCACTTGTTTCTTTCCCTCTAATCCACTCCGTCGCAAGAAGCGGTAATTGAACGCGGTAGCTAATTTTTCTGCCAGGCATGTCGACCTCACTTTGTTGTTTGATTCGTGCCTTCTCCAGTCCGTAATTGCACTGCAGCCAGGGGACAGAACTCCAACTAACCGGCCGTCTACCGGCTGTAGTTAACAGGAGAGCCCACTTTTAAGTGGTTACATCGAGTCAGTGAAACCCCTTCCAGTTCCCTTCTGCATAAACTATCATAACTATGAACTCAGCTTCCGATCATATTTCCTTCGGTGATCAGCCTGGTTCGAACTTTAGGTTACTATGTAACCAGAGGGACTTCAGTATAGGTGTTCTATAGACTTGAATGGTTTGGCCATGTAACATGATTGGCATCAGACAGGACACCACAGAGAGCAATATTTATTACTGATAGGAGCTTAAGTGAACTTTTCAGAACCATTTTATACTAATAAAAACAGCACAGCTAAATACATATATAAAAAAACCTCTTTCTAACTGTATCTAATTCATGTCTGTATGTCAATTCTAAGCCGAGCTATCAACGCTTTTGTGGAAAAGATGAATAAAGAAGAAAAAATTAAAGTGGGTTAGGTATACAGATACAGCGGTAACAGATCCAGAGGTCGACCAGGCAGAGGATGGACTGCAGAAATATCAGAGACACTGAAAAGTACTTTATACAAAGCAAACAGAAAGGTTTGTTCCAGAGATCTCGGCCTGACGCCGCAAGGTATTCCAGGAGTAGAAACAAGAAGATACAGTTGAACCAGATTTCTGGGATTTGTACCTGTATGATTCTCATCCATGAGGTGCTGATCCTACAGGCAGGAGTTTAGGAATCCTGGAAGTTAGAAACTACTTACCCTCTCCTCTACAAGAACAGACAGGCCTGTGACTGCGTGTGTTTAAATATTGAGCCAAGAACAGACAGGCATGCAACTGTGTATGTTTGAATGTTGAGCTTAGAGCTGACATCACAGCACTCATGGATGTTCACATAAGCACGCCATCCTCATCTTTAGCATCCAGCGAAGAGTTTCCATTTGGGATAATAGCACTTTGAATATATGTCTGTCTCGCCTTTCTTCTGAGCATAGAGTGTTAATCAGATCCTTGGTCACTCCTAACTGTACCATTCTCTCCCAACCATAATGATCTGTTCATGCCTGCGCATTGTTCACTTGCTCCTTGTTCACTTGCTCCTTGTTCACTCGCTCCTTGTTCACTTGCTCCTTGTTCACTTGCGCCTTGTTCACTTGCGCCTTGTTCACTTGCTCCTTGTTCACTTGCTCCTTGTTCACTTGTTCACTTGCTCCTTGTTCACTTGCTCCTTGTTCACTTGCGCCGTGTTCACTTGCTCCTTGTTCATTTGCTCCTTGTTCACTTGCTCCTTGTTCACTTGCTCCTTGTTCACTTGCTCCTTGTTCACTTGCTCCTTGTTCACTTGCTCCTTGTTCACTTGCTCCTTGTTCACTTTCTCCTTGTTCACTTGCTCCTTGTTCACTTTCTCCTTGTTCACTTTCTCCTTGTTCACTTGCTCCTTGTTCACTTGCTCCTTGTTCACTTTCTCCTTGTTCACTTTCTCCTTGTTCACTTTCTCCTTGTTCACTTTCTCCTTGTTCACTTTCTCCTTGTTCACTTGCTCCTTGTTCACTTTCTCCTTGTTCACTTTCTCCTTGTTCACTTTCTCCTTGTTCACTTTCTCCTTGTTCACTTGCTCCTTGTTCACTTTCTCCTTGTTCACTTTCTCCTTGTTCACTTTCTCCTTGTTCACTTTCTCCTTGTTCACTTTCTCCTTGTTGACTTGCTCCTTGTTCACTTGCTCCTTGTTCACTTGCTCCTTGTTCACTTGCTCCTTGTTCACTTGCTCCTTGTTCACTTGCTCCTTGTTCACTTGCTCCTTGTTCACTTGCTCCTTGTTCACTTGCTCCTTGTTCACTTGCTCCTTGTTCACTTGCTCCTTGTTCACTTGCTCCTTGTTCACTTGCTCCTTGCTCCTTGTTCACTTGCTCCTTGTTCACTTGCTCCTTGTTCACTTGCTCCTTGTTCACTTGCTCCTTGTTCACTTGCTCCTTGTTCACTTGCTCCTTGTTCACTTGCTCCTTGTTCACTTGCTCCTTGTTCACTTGCTCCTTGTTCACTTGCTCCTTGTTCACTTGCTCCTTGTTCACTTGCTCCTTGTTCACTTGCTCCTTGTTCACTTGCTCCTTGTTCACTTGCTCCTTGTTCACTTGCTCCTTGTTCACTTGCTCCTTGTTCACTTGCTCCTTGTTCACTTGCTCCTTGTTCACTTGCTCCTTGTTCACTTGCTCCTTGTTCACTTTCACTCCTTGTTCACTTTGCTCCTTGTTCACTTGCTCCTTGTTCACTTGCGCCGTGTTCACTTGCTCCTTGTTCATTTGCTCCTTGTTCACTTGCGCCTTGTTCACTTGCTCCTTGTTCACTTGCTCCTTGTTCACTTGCTCCTTGTTCACTTGCTCCTTGTTCACTTGCTCCTTGTTCACTTGCTCCTTGTTCACTTGCTCCTTGTTCACTTGCTCCTTGTTCACTTGCTCCTTGTTCACTTGCTCCTTGTTCATTTGCTCCTTGTTCACTTGCTCCTTGTTCACTTGCTCCTTGTTCACTTTCTCCTTGTTCACTTGCTCCTTGAGGGCATAGACCACATAAAGCTTTTCATGCTTAATTTGACCACCTGTTGATGCAGAACCAGCCAGTCTGCCTGCTTGTTCATTTCCCAAGCTCCTACATTCCTTGGAGATAATATCTCTGTTTATAGTACATGACAGTCTGTGAACATTAAAATTTCAGGTCTTGTATCTACCCTCGCTTACGTACTGGACACTGCACACTCAATAAACACTCATATAAATTAGGTATGAGCCAAACAGCTCTCTGCCAGTGTCTTCGTGCTGAACAGACTCCAGAACATGTCCTGCAAGACTGTCCTCTCTTGGCAGAGCTGCGGAGCAAAATATGGCAACACCCAGTAGAACTGACAACTAAGCTTTGGGGAAACCTAAGAGACCTTGAAAAGACATCCCATTTTATGGTCCACAGTAGATTATGCGCAAGACCAGAGATCGCTGAAGAAGAAGAAGAAGAAGAAGAAGACGAAGAATCTACCCTGCCTGTTCGTTGCTCAACACTCCTGCCTGCCGGGAGAATATACCTCTGTTTTTATACACTCCTGCCTGCCCGGAGAATATACCTCTGTTTTTATACACTCCTGCCTGCCGGGAGAATATACCTCTGTTTTTATTACATGTCAATCTAAGAACATTGAAATTTCAGGTCTTGGACAAACCCTGCAGCAAGATGATGCTGTTTTTATCCGAGATATGTTTATGAGGGACCCACACCAGCTGGCGATGTTGCAACAGATGAACCCTTCCCTAGCAGATGCCATGTTGAGTGGAGATCTGGGTATGTAGATTAGATCATCTGAATGTTTCATCAGAAAGGATTTACTGAAATGGAAAACTTAATCAGGTTTCAACTGGTGTGATTAGCATATGGACTCTTCATTGGCTACTAAAGAAGGAGACGGAACACATGTTTAAATGTCCTGAGTGCAAGGATGTCAATTATTGATTTATTAATTTATTACTGAAATGGGTTGAGTTAAATTGATTCGAGTTAAGAACCAATAGCACTAACGACATTCCCAGAGGTACTCCATCCCAGTTTTCAGCAGCCAGCACAGAGTTCTAGTTCCGAGGGTAGCAGTGGCAGTTTGATAATTATGTTGATCACCCCCCATCCTTTTTCTCTTTCTATGCTATTACCTACAAATTTACCATACTCTCCTAAATCTAAATCTGAATAGACGATCAAAGGTACCCTATTCAACCTTCAAAGAAGTTATAATTTGATCACCCTTAACAGCCACATCACCCAGGATGTAACCTGTAGTCTTGTGTGGGTAAACAAAGTTATTTGTGTATCCTCTACAGGACGTTGCAGAACTAACCCCAGCATTGTTGTTTCCTCTGATGTGGTTTTTCCAGGCAAATTTTACGTTCAGTAGTTTGCTTTGTGGACAGTAAGCTCTTGGTACCACTGTCGAAACAAACGCAAGACAAACCATCCGCATTTGGGATTGAACCTGGTACCCCAGCATTACAAAGTGCGTTTGCATCGCCTAATTCACAGATGCTGACTGTGTGGCTAAGGAGGATGATTATAAGTCCGTTTTGCCTTTCTTGTGGATGTTGAGTGTCGGCCACGTCCCTTTATCACTGCCTGCTGGACTCACTTCAGGAAATAAGGTTTCCAACTTGTTGATTCCTAGACATATTTTTCCTACTGTTCCCTTTTTAAAATAAAATGTTACACATCGTCAGGCACCAGTTAATGAATGTTCATAGATTCATTCATTCTCTTTGTTTCTGGCTCATACAACACGACTGGTTTGACATTAGAGTTAAATATTCTCAGTTTAAAAAAGAATTCCTGCGTGCTATATAGATCCAGTTTTTTTTACATATGGCTGTGAACAGGTAATAAACAAGCCAGACAGTTGCTTGAAGCTTCAGAGATGTGGTTTTATAGAATAGAAGGATGCTTTTGATTTCTTGGACGGCCATGCACACACACACACAGCGCTCACACAGATACAAGTACCAAATGTTTTGAAAGAGACGATGGCCCCAAAAATTACTACTTCTTTGTATAGTGTCTGTAAACTGGCAGAAAGTTCTGGTAGTTTGTCCGCTTTGTGACTTTAATTTTGTTCCAGAACTTGAGTTTTTCATGCATATCCAGTTTACAGATCTGGCTTATTTGTAAGCAGTTTGTTCTTTGCCTCTCAGTCAGAAGCATTCAGACTTCAAAGGAATCACTTCTATTAGATTTTACAAAATGCTTGTTAGAGGGCAGGGGTCTACTCACCCCCACCCCAAATGGGGTCCCAGAATCCTCACAGGAAGCCTGAAGACAACTTTTCACAAACTTCAGAGAGAGAGTTATCATTTGTTGGTTATGTTATAACTCGAGAGACACCGGAACACTTGATCATTGGCAAGATTTGTGGAAGGAAAGATGGAAGAAGACAAGGTAAGAAAACTCTGGCCAGCCTATGGTCATGGCATGCAGGGGTGTCGGCACACAAACTGGTACATACCTTTGAGATCTCCTATGCCAGTCAGCAAGCCACTTGGTTAACTCTTTGAGTCCCAAGGAACACATCATACGTTCATAGGTTACTGCCTAGAAGCCCAATGAACGCATGATGCGCTGATTTTACATCTCTTTTGACTTCCCCTTGGGCCTGTGGTGCTTAACCCTCTGGGACTCAAGGAGTTAAGATAATTAAGTTTTAATGTTTTAGATTTTCTGTTGAGGACCACTGATTTCCTACTGATGTGAAAGTTGTTAGCATCTTTTGTTGTCTTATGTTTGTATGTCGTATTTCATTACAAGAATGTATTCATAATCCAGATAAAACTTGACCTCTGCTGCCCCGTTCCAGACAAGTTCCGCCGAGTTTTACAGGAGCAGAGGCAAATAAGGCTGCAACAGGATCAAGATAAGATGGCACTTATGCATGCTGATCCCTTTGACCCTAACGCACAGCATCTTATAGAAGAAGCAATTAGGTATGTAGTATTTTTTCCCCCCTTATTTTTCCTTTTTTTTTACCCTTAGTTGAACTTTTTTTCTGTAACTTTTATTTCCTTGGTTGTGAATTTTTGAGCAAGTTTTTTTTTTTTTTTTTCCATAAGACCAGTTGGCACTTGGTGGATAATGTCAACATCACCCTGACTGCCTTTACTCCCCTGGGTCATTTTTGAAAAAAATCTGGCTGCATCAGGGCATGAACCTGCGACCTTCAGATATGCTGGAGAGCTTTTAGCCACTACATTACGGTGGCTTCCCAGTCCAATTATGGTTTTGTTTATTTCGTATCAAAAACATTGAGGGCATCCAACATCAGCTAGCGTTTGAAATGATGTCTGTATAAATGCTTGTGTTTGAAGACGTGACTATGTCAGTGCCTGCAGGCTGTGATGAGGGCAACCTGTGTGTACTACAACCACATTGCACTTATCCCGGCTTGAAGGCTATGACAGTGACAGCATCTCTTTCCCCATATGGGTTCTAGGGCTCCATAATGGGGAAGAACAGGAACAGACCCACAGCCTACCCAACAAGCATGTCTAATTGGATTGGGGGGGGGGGGGGGGGGGGGGGTCTTCCTGTAAAATCAGAGTACATCTGTCGGAGAGGCAAGAAACCAACACTTTGCTTACAAAAAGCAGGATCTGTAAAACGGATACGTGCAAAACTCAGGTCCTGGAACAAAGCCGAAGTCCAGAAATGGTCGAACAACCAGGTCTTTCCGCCAGAGTTTACAGCTGGTGAACGCAAGGAACAACATCTCTTCTTCTTCTTCACATTCACCAGCTGTAAACTGGTGAAAAGTCTCGGTTGTTCATTCACTTCTGGACTTTGGTCTTGTTCCCAGACTTGTGTGTGGCTTGCTCATGTGTTTTACAGATCTTTTGTGTGCACATCAGTTTTACAGACCTGACTTATTTTCCACTTTAAAGGAAACATCGATCCTATCTATGTTGGCCAGGCTCCTTTTGGGAACCTGTTTCTGCAAGGGGCGGTCACTAAGTAATCCACCACCTTACTTTTTCTTAGTTAAAAATGACAAGGAGGAGTGGCTGGCCGAACGGTTAGAACGCTGAGTTCTCATGCGGGTGACATGTGTTCAAATCTTCGGTAAGGCCTTCCTGCACCGCAAAAGTGGTATATTAAGGCAGTAATTGGCAGTAATAATGAGGGCCGAAGTATGAAATTATTTGATGCTAATGGTAAATAAGATGGAAGTCATAGACTGATTGGAACAATCAGACATAGACAGTTAATGTTTTTGGAAATGTTATGAGAAGGAATGGACTTGAGAACTTGGTGACAACTAGCAAGATTGGTGGAAAGAGAGCAAGAGAAAGGCAAAGAGATAAATACCTGCACGGCCGGACCAGATGGCTACGGTGAGACAGAAACATAGGACTAATCCGTAATTCAGGGTGATCCTGTGAGATGGCAAAACATGACAGCCTATGCTTACTGACACAGCTCATGAGGATGGTAGGTCATCAGGATGCCTATGTTAGACAATCAGTGATTATGTGAAAGTTATTTTAGATAAAATAATAAGAAGTCAACGATTTTTTGATGGTCGTGGCAGGTCTTGTGGCAAGTGCAACTTTGTGGTCGGCTGTTTCAAATTGCACTTACCCTGGCCTGTTGTGTCGTCATAAACCAGCAGCGATTGACTACACTTCTGCTTACAATCTGTCTGTCACATCTGTACATATACTTACTTCAGTATCCGTGCCAGTGTGATGCTTTGATGGTGTCATTCTGTCATCAGCAGGTCACAATGAGATATTTTGCATGAGTTGAGTTGTCCTCAAGGGATGAAGTTCACAGTCAGAAAATACATATTCACATTGAAACCCAGGCATCACAAACTCAAGTGGATCAGTCATAGTTACGATGGTTTGGTCATGTATGCAGATCGGGAGAGGCTGGGAACAGGACCACCAGGATGACCCATGGTTTGCTGGGAAGACCACATCCAACAGCCCTTGACTGACAGAGGACTCGAATGGTACAAAGCCAGAAAAAATAAGACTGCTGTCAAAGAAGTCTTTTGATCTCTCTGGTAAACCTCTACACCCCAAGGTAGAAGAAGGGCGACTGAGAAAGTAAGTAAGTTGTCCTCATTTCTCCCTGTGAGGGTTCTGGAACCCGACGCTGGGGGACACAAAAATAGACCCACTGTCTCCCCAGTAAGCACGCTGTAGGAGTCAACTACTTGGGAGCTTCCTTTGAAGTCGGAGGGCATCTACCCAAGTGGCAAGGGACAACCAACTACATACAAATAAGCTAGTAAAACAGTAGTACACCCAAAACTCAGGCCCAGTCACAAAGCCAAAGTCCAAATGGACGAACAACAAGGACTTTCAGTCAGTGAACAAAGAAGAAGTCTTAATTTCTACTTTCATCTCCCACCAGTGTGTGCAAGACAGCAGGTTGGTGTGACCTGGGTCTCCCCCTTTCTGCGAAGACTTTGTAAAACAGAGTGGTGTTTGAATCTAGTATTAATTATGGTGGCTCAAAAATGATGCAAATTGAGAAATACCAAGATTGTGAAGTAGTGAAGTACTAAGGTTTGAGAAATAATCAGATTGTACAAAAAATACTAAGGTTTGTGAAGTAGAGACATACTCAGGTTTGTGAAGTAGAGACATACTCAGGTTTGTGAAGTAGAGACATACTCAGGTTTGTGAAGTAGAGACATACTCAGGTTTGTGAAGTAGAGACATACTAAGGTTTGTGAAGTAGAGACATACTCAGGTTTGTGAAGTAGAGACATACTCAGGTTTGTGAAGTAGAGACATACTCAGGTTTGTGAAGTAGAGACATACTCAGGTTTGTGAAGTAGAGACATACTCAGGTTTGTGAAATAAATACTGAACTGGTGAAGGAGGTATGGTATGTCTTTTGAACTGTTGTTGTTCTTAGATTGAGAAATGTTGACAGCAACATGGCAACAGCGATTGAGTTTGCTCCGGAGAGTTTTGGGCAGGTACACATGCTCTACATCGATTGTAAGGTCAATGGGTATCCAGTCAAAGCCTTTGTCGACTCAGGTCAGAGTTCAGTTCCTCCATTGATTGTGTGGTGCTGCAGAGAATGTGTTATTGATATTAGATATGGTCTAGTGATTGACTCTAGAGACTGTGTGAATTACTTTAGATATGGAGAGATTGTGTGATTGGCTGTAGAAATTGTGTGAATTACTTTAGATATGGTGTAGAGGTTGTGAGATTGGCTGTCGAGATAATGTGAATTACTTTAAGTGTGCTGTACAGATTGTCTTTAGAGACTGTGAATTACTTCAGATGTGGTGTAGAGATTGTGTGAATAACCAGATTTGGTGTAGAGATTGTGTGAATTACTTTAGATGTGTAGAGATTGTGTGATTGGCCGTAGAGATTGTGTGGTTGCTTTAAAGACTGACTGGCTTTAGATATGCTGTAGATTGTGTGGTTGAGCAGAGACCTCGTGGCATTAGATATGCTGTAAAAATTATGTGGTCAAGTGTTGCAGAGATTACCTGGTCAACTTTGGACGTAGTGCTGTAGATACCTGATTGTGTGATTAGTTGTGATTAGTTGTGATTGTGTGATTAGTTGTGATTGTGTGATTAGTTGCTTAACACATATGCTTAGAGCTACATGCATGCTGACGTATAAACCACTTCTGCCGTTAAGCAACGTGGGGAGGAATAATTTGCGATCCAGTGCACGTTGGCTGCCACTGGCTATTGTCATGCCGTGACGGCGTAGAGTGTCTTTAATGTTGTCGATCGATATTTTCTGCAGCCGTCCTCTTGCTCTTGTAGCTAATCTTCTGATATGTAGTGCTTGTGATGGTATTTGACATGTATATATATGTGTGTGTATGGAGGGTGAAAAGCAGAGGTGGGGGGGGGGGGGGAAGAACATAGCTGCATAGATCCTTTTCTAGTTTATCCCAGGCCCTCTTTAACTTGTTTGGTTCCTTTCTGCTTCATGGTTTTTCATGTAACACTTGCAGGAGCCCAGATGACAATAATGAGCCAGTCGTGCGCAGAGAGATGTCACATCATGCGGCTAGTGGACAGACGCTGGACTGGTTTGGCCCAGGGCGTCGGGACACAGACAATTATTGGCCGTGTCCATTTATGTAAGTTTTAATGACGTCTTTTCTTTAGCTTGCAAGGTGTGTTTGTAGCTAGCACACTTTTCTTCTTCTTCTTCGCGTTCATCAGCTGTAAACTCTGGCAGAAAGTTCTGGTTGTTTATCCACTGCTGGACTGCAGTCCTGTTCCAGAACCTAAGTGTTGCATGTGCATCCGTTCTACAGATCTGACTCATTTGTATGCAGACTGCTGGTTCCTTGCCAGGCAGATGCACTCCGACTTCGAAGGAAGCTCCCAATTAGTCGACTCTTACGACATGCTTTTGGGTAGGCAGTGGGTCTATTCTTGTTTTCCCTATAATAGGGCCCCGGAGCCCACACGGGAGGCTAGCACACTTTTGTTTCCATCCCTCTTTGTTTGTATTAGGTGATTTTGATGAATTCTAAGATGTTCCTTTGTTACAGATCAATTGTTTTGCACTTTCATCTGTCCCTGTGGTTTTTTGTTTTTTTACCTAGTGAAATTTGAAATTAAATATCATATATTGTAAACAAACAAATAACATTTACAATAATGTATTTTCTTTGACATCAGAGGATGGGGCAAACAGAAAGTAAAGTAAAGGACCCCTTTCACACTTTTTAGGCATATAGGGCTAGACCTATATTTTATAGACCAATCAGCACAAGATGGGTGATGTGGTCAGCATTATGCCTGCTGCCTTTACACCCGGCACCCACTTAAGGCTGGGTTGACCTGGGAGCCCAGGTCATTTTTTGAAAAAAGTCAGGCTCCTCCAGGGAGCAAACCTACGACCTTCCGGTCCATGGTGAGCGTCTAGCCAATTTGAAACTGCGACTCCTAGAAATTAAACTGCTGTCAGAAATAAACAGGCTTAGGGTTAGTCAAGATCTTATTTAACATTCTCTTCTTAGCACAGCATTTGCAAGTGAGTAAAAGTACAAATTCTGGGATCATGTTATCTTTTCAGTCATAACTTATGGACATCTCCTTCTTCTTCTCGTGTTCACCTGCTGTAAACTCAGGCAGAAAGTTTTGGTTGTTTGTTCACCTCTAGACTTTAGTCTTGTTCCAGCACCGGAGTGTTGCGTGCACATCCGCAAGGAGCAAGAAATAAGTAAATACGATGTGCATGCTACACTTGGGTTCTGAAACAGGACTAAAGTCAGGAGGTGCAAAAGCAAACAGAACTTGTCTTTGGAATTTACAGCCAGATAACGTGAAGAAAACGAAGATACCTAATATACGTGGTTTCCACCCCTCTCATAGATCAGTGCATCTGTAAAGGTAAAGTCGGGAGGTATGAACCAGCGTCATTGCACATGGTAATTAACAATAAGTGCTCTGCCACCAGAGCGGACAGCTGATAAGAAACTGTCTGCCTGTGTCGCCTTTTTTCCATTTACCCCAAAGTGTTAACTCTGGTACCCATTTCATAGAGGCTGGGTAAACCCCTGGAACCGTTAGATTTCAAACACCGGCCGTGGGCTGCAGCGAGTCTCCTATCAACTGCACTAACACGGCCCCAGTGCACCTGTGTTGTATTCATGAATTAAATATATCCATGTGTCCTTGCCAGGTCAGATCCAGATTGGCACTGCATTCCTGCAGTCCTCTTTCTGTATCCTGGAGAGCCAGCCCATGGACATGCTGCTGGGTTTGGACATGCTGAAGAGGCATCAGGTAAATCCAGGTTGTCTTGTAGTGTTGTCTTGTAGTGTTGTCTTGTAGTGATGTCTTGTCTTGTAGTGTTGTCTTGTAGTGTTGTCTTGTCTTGTAGTGTTGTCTTGTAGTGTTGTCTTGTCTTGTAGTGTTGTCTTGTCTTGTAGTGTTGTCTTGTAGTGTTGTCTTGTCTTGTAGTCTTGTCTTGTCTTGTAGTGTTGTCTTGTCTTGTAGTGTTGTCTTGTCTTGTAGTGTTGTCTTGTCTTGTAGTGTTGTCTTGTAGTGTTGTCTTGTCTTGTAGTCTTGTCTTGTCTTCTTGTCTTGTCTTGTAGTGTTGTCTTGTCTTGTAGTGTTGTCTTGTAGTGTTGTCTTGTAGTGTTGTCTTGTCTTGTAGTGTTGTCTTGTCTTGTAGTGTTGTCTTGTCTTGTAGTGTTGTCTTGTCTTGTAGTGTTGTCTTGTCTTGTAGTGTTGTCTTGTCTTGTAGTGTTGTCTTGTCTTGTAGTGTTGTCTTGTAGTGTTGTCTTGTAGTGTTGTCTTGTAGTGTTGTCTTGTAGTGTTGTCTTGTAGTGTTGTCTTGTCTTGTAGTGTTGTCTTGTAGTGTTGTCTTGTAGTGATGTCTTGTCTTGTAGTGTTGTCTTGTAGTGATGTCTTGTCTTGTAGTGTTGTCTTGTAGTGTTGTCTTGTCTTGTAGTGTTGTCTTGTAGTCTTGTCTTGTCTTGTAGTGTTGTCTTGTCTTGTAGTGTTGTCTTGTAGTGTTGTCTTGTCTTGTAGTGTTGTGTTGTCTTGTAGTGTTGTCTTGTAGTGTTGTCTTGTAGTGTTGTCTTGTAGTGTTGTCTTGTAGTGTTGTCTTGTAGTGTTGTCTTGTAGTGTTGTCTTGTAGTGTTGTCTTGTAGTGTTGTCTTGTCTTGTAGTGTTGTCTTGTCTTGTAGTGTTGTCTTGTAGTGTTGTCTTGTAGTGTTGTCTTGTAGTGTTGTCTTGTCTTGTAGTGTTGTCTTGTAGTGTTGTCTTGTAGTGATGTCTTGTCTTGTAGTGTTGTCTTGTAGTGATGTCTTGTCTTGTAGTGTTGTCTTGTAGTGTTGTCTTGTCTTGTAGTGTTGTCTTGTAGTGTTGTCTTGTAGTGTTGTCTTGTAGTGTTGTCTTGTCTTGTAGTGTTGTCTTGTAGTGTTGTCTTGTAGTGTTGTCTTGTCTTGTAGTGTTGTCTTGTAGTGTTGTCTTGTCTTGTAGTGTTGTCTTGTAGTGTTGTCTTGTCTTGTAGTGTTGTCTTGTAGTGTTGTCTTGTCTTGTAGTGTTGTCTTGTCTTGTAGTGTTGTCTTGTCTTGTAATGTTGTCTTGTAGTGTTGTCTTGTCTTGTAGTGTTGTCTTGTAGTGTTGTCTTGTAGTGTTGTCTTGTAGTGTTGTCTTGTAGTGTTGTCTTGTAGTGTTGTCTTGTAGTGTTGTCTTGTAGTGTTGTCTTGTAGTGTTGTCTTGTAGTGTTGTCTTGTCTTGTAGTGTTGTCTTGTCTTGTAGTGTTGTCTTGTAGTGTTGTCTTGTCTTGTAGTGTTGTCTTGTAGTGTTGTCTTGTAGTGTTGTCTTGTCTTGTAGTGTTGTCTTGTAGTGTTGTCTTGTAGTGTTGTCTTGTAGTGTTGTCTTGTAGTGTTGTCTTGTAGTGTTGTCTTGTAGTGTTGTCTTGTAGTGTTGTCTTGTAGTGTTGTCTTGTAGTGTTGTCTTGTAGTGTTGTCTTGTAGTGTTGTCTTGTCTTGTAGTGTTGTCTTGTAGTGTTGTCTTGTAGTGTTGTCTTGTAGTGTTGTCTTGTCTTGTAGTGTTGTCTTGTAGTGTTGTCTTGTAGTGTTGTCTTGTAGTGTTGTCTTGTAGTGTTGTCTTGTCTTGTAGTGTTGTCTTGTCTTGTAGTGTTGTCTTGTCTTGTAGTGTTGTCTTGTAGTGTTGTCTTGTAGTGTTGTCTTGTCTTGTAGTGTTGTCTTGTCTTGTAGTGTTGTCTTGTAGTGTTGTCTTGTAGTGTTGTCTTGTAGTGTTGTCTTGTAGTGTTGTCTTGTCTTGTAGTGTTGTCTTGTCTTGTAGTGTTGTCTTGTCTTGTAGTGTTGTCTTGTAGTGTTGTCTTGTAGTGTTGTCTTGTAGTGTTGTCTTGTAGTGTTGTCTTGTCTTGTAGTGTTGTCTTGTCTTGTAGTGTTGTCTTGTAGTGTTGTCTTGTCTTGTAGTGTTGTCTTGTAGTGTTGTCTTGTAGTGTTGTCTTGTAGTGTTGTCTTGTCTTGTAGTGTTGTCTTGTCTTGTAGTGTTGTCTTGTCTTGTAGTGTTGTCTTGTAGTGTTGTCTTGTAGTGTTGTCTTGTAGTGTTGTCTTGTAGTGTTGTCTTGTAGTGTTGTCTTGTAGTGTTGTCTTGTAGTGTTGTCTTGTAGTGTTGTCTTGTAGTGTTGTCTTGTCTTGTTGTGTTGTCTTGTAGTGTTGTCTTGTAGTGTTGTCTTGTAGTGTTGTCTTGTAGTGTTGTCTTGTAGTGTTGTCTTGTCTTGTAGTGTTGTCTTGTAGTGTTGTCTTGTAGTGTTGTCTTGTAGTGTTGTCTTGTAGTGTTGTCTTGTAGTGTTGTCTTGTCTTGTAGTCTTGTCTTGTAGTGTTGTCTTGTAGTGTTGTCTTGTAGTGTTGTCTTGTAGTCTTGTCTTGTAGTGTTGTCTTGTAGTGTTGTCTTGTAGTGTTGTCTTGTCTTGTAGTGTTGTCTTGTAGTGTTGTCTTGTAGTGTTGTCTTGTCTTGTAGTGTTGTCTTGTCTTGTAGTGTTGTCTTGTAGTGTTGTCTTGTCTTGTAGTGTTGTCTTGTAGTGTTGTCTTGTAGTGTTGTCTTGTCTTGTAGTGTTGTCTTGTAGTGTTGTCTTGTAGTGTTGTCTTGTAGTGTTGTCTTGTAGTGTTGTCTTGTAGTGTTGTCTTGTAGTGTTGTCTTGTCTTGTAGTGTTGTCTTGTAGTGTTGTCTTGTAGTGATGTCTTGTCTTGTAGTGTTGTCTTGTAGTGTTGTCTTGTAGTGTTGTCTTGTAGTGTTGTCCTGTAGTGTTGTCTTGTAGTGTTGTCTTGTAGTGTTGTCTTGTAGTGTTGTCTTGTAGTGTTGTCTTGTAGTCTTGTCTTGTAGTGTTGTCTTGTAGTGTTGTCTTGTCTTGTAGTGTTGTCTTGTAGTGTTGTCTTGTAGTGTTGTCTTGTCTTGTAGTGTTGTCTTGTCTTGTAGTGTTGTCTTGTAGTGTTGTCTTGTAGTGTTGTCTTGTAGTGTTGTCTTGTCTTGTAGTGTTGTCTTGTAGTGTTGTCTTGTAGTGTTGTCTTGTAGTGTTGTCTTGTAGTGTTGTCTTGTAGTGTTGTCTTGTCTTGTAGTGTTGTCTTGTCTTGTAGTGTTGTCTTGTAGTGTTGTCTTGTCTTGTAGTGTTGTCTTGTAGTGTTGTCTTGTAGTGTTGTCTTGTAGTGTTGTCTTGTAGTGTTGTCTTGTAGTGTTGTCTTGTCTTGTAGTGTTGTCTTGTCTTGTAGTGTTGTCTTGTCTTGTAGTGTTGTCTTGTCTTGTAGTGTTGTCTTGTCTTGTAGTGTTGTCTTGTCTTGTAGTGTTGTCTTGTAGTGTTGTCTTGTCTTGTAGTGTTGTCTTGTAGTGTTGTCTTGTAGTGTTGTCTTGTAGTGTTGTCTTGTCTTGTAGTCTTGTCTTGTAGTCTTGTCTTGTCTTGTAGTGTTGTCTTGTAGTGTTGTCTTGTCTTGTAGTGTTGTCTTGTAGTGTTGTTTTGTAGTGTTGTCTTGTCTTGTAGTGTTGTCTTGTCTTGTAGTGTTGTCTTGTCTTGTAGTGTTGTCTTGTAGTGTTGTCTTGTCTTGTCTTGTAGTGTTGTCTTGTAGTGTTGTCTTGTAGTGTTGTCTTGTAGTCTTGTCTTGTAGTGTTGTCTTGTAGTGTTGTCTTGTAGTGTTGTCTTGTAGTGTTGTCTTGTAGTGTTGTCTTGTAGTGTTGTCTTGTAGTGTTGTCTTGTAGTGTTGTCTTGTAGTGTTGTCTTGTCTTGTAGTATTGTCTTGTAGTGTTGTCTTGTAGTGTTGTCTTGTCTTGTAGTGTTGTCTTGTAGTGTTGTCTTGTAGTGTTGTCTTGTAGTGTTGTCTTGTAGTGTTGTCTTGTAGTGTTGTCTTGTAGTGTTGTCTTGTAGTGTTGTCTTGTAGTGTTGTCTTGTAGTGTTGTCTTGTAGTGTTGTCTTGTAGTGTTGTCTTGTCTTGTAGTGTTGTCTTGTAGTGTTGTCTTGTAGTGTTGTCTTGTAGTGTTGTCTTGTCTTTCTGTGAATGGCTCCCTCTCAACAAACATAATCGTATTTGTTAACTCTTTGAGTCCCAAGGAACGCATCATACGTTCATAGGTTCCCACCTAGAGACCCAATAAACGCAAGATGTGCCGATTTTACATCTCTTTTGACTACCCCTTGGGCCTCTGATGCTAAACCACTTGGAACTCAAAGAGTTAATGTAAGTGATGACCTTTTTGTTTTTTTAATGACAGAATTCAGAAATGTTTTATGCATATTCTGTCTTATTAGATGACTTCTCAATTTGAAATGTTAACATTTTCAGAAAACATATTATCTCATAAATGTATAAACTTTTATATACTTATAATAAACTTATATAATATACTTATAAATGGCCGGGGCATATTGAGAGATTGCCAGATGACAGAGAGGTAAAATACTATGCACACAAGTGAGTGGAATCGTTGTAGATCATGTGGCAGACCAAGAAGACGATGGAGAGATAATATCCAGACAGATCTACAAACAGTTGGTGTCACCAACTAGAAAGAGAAGGCCACCCAGATACATGAATAGAGGCAGGTGATATCGGCAGCAATGAAGGGCTCAAGGGCTGGGAATGCTGAAGAAATAGAAGAATATTGCCTTAAAAACAGAAATTTATGGTAGATATGTATTTTATGTGTGTCTTCTAGTGTTCATTGTCTTTGATGATTACATTTTCAGGTGTATTCTCATGATAAACTGGACCATTTTCTTGTTAAGAGTTTTTTCTACCTGGTAGATCTGCGCAGAAGAACTCTCTGACTGATTACTGTCATTATGTTAATATTTTAAAGGCAGCGTAGACACCAGCATCTTTGGCTCTGCTAATGCACTTTGTAATGCTGAGTTCAATCCTAACTGCAGGCAGTTTGGCAGCAAATGCCCATTTGTTTATTTTGACGGTGGTATCGAGAGCTGACTATTCAGAAAGCAATGGCAAATAACTAAACAACAATTTGCCTAGATAAACCACAGCAGCCAAAAAAATGCTGAAGTTGGTTCTGCAACATCCTGTAAAGGACACACAACTAACTTTTTTAAGACAATTTCTTGGGCCTGAAGATTCATGATCGCATGGTTAGTACAGTTGTCATAGATTGTGCAGGTAGGAATTTTGCTGGGCCTCCCAACAAGCATTTCTGATACAGTCTGTTTCTCGTAGTGTAGTTTCTTAGCAAACTAGGAAGCAACAGATTCATGTGTTTGTGTTCCAGTGTGTCATCGACTTGAAGAAGAACCTACTGCAGATTGGCACCAGTGGAACTGTCACCCCGTTCTTGGCAGAAACTGACCTGCCAGATACTGCACGTCTTGACCAGTCGGCCAGGGAGGAGCAGGAGCTAGCAGACGTGCTCTCTCGTTCTGCTCAGGCGACCAGTGAGTGATGATTTCATTCTTTGACATTTTTGTTTTCTTGTTCTCCCAGCGTGGGTTCTGAGGTCCAAAAGGTGACTAATTAAGCCTTTTCTGAAATTGGATTATCTGGGCCAAAAGGTGCAGATATCGCAGCCTGGCTGTAAACCACAACACAGCATGTCAAATGCGCTATAAGGACAAATGCAGAATAATAAGAAAATATAATTTGTGTGTGTGCCTGATACTCTAGGGTTGTTTGTTGTACTCATTTCATACAGGATCAAATACTTGAGAGAAAAAAAACTTAAAATTGAAAACCAGACTGCAGTGACTTAAAAATGCAAACATCTGTGCCGGAGTCAAAATAGCAAGTGAAAAACAATATATTTATACCAAGACAATCCGTCATTCGTCATCAATCAACAGGCTGTTTACAGGACATCGCTGTCATCATCACGGCACACCTGAAAGTCTCCCTTTCTCTAGCTAGTTTCAGTCTTATGTGCTTCCAATGCATCTTCAGTGTCATCTATCCATTCTTCATTGAGGTGGACTCTATGTCTTGTATTTCCGCAAATTGTATCCATCTTAATTTTGTTCCAATCCACCACAGTGTTTATTTAATGTAGCCAAAATACCTCAACTTTTAGACAGAGTGCTGTTAATGAGCCAGTTCTTTTGATGTTCAGATCATGTTGGATGTCAGTGTGTTTTTGTTTTTTTCCTTGATTCATAGTATTCTAGTTCTTTGATCATGGGATGAGAAAAGGAGCACTGGAAAATGTTGTGACAACTGGAAAATGTTGTGACAACTGGAAAATGTTGTGACAACTGGAAAATGTTGTGACAACTGGAAAATGTTGTGACAACTGGAAAATGTTGTGACAACTGGAAAATGTTGTGACAACTGGAAAATGTTGTGACAACTGGAAAATGTTGTGACAACTGGAAAATGTTGTGACAACTGGAAAATGTTGTGACAACTGGAAAATGTTGTGACAACTGGAAAATGTTGTGACAACTGGAAAGATCACTGGTAGAAGAGGTAGAGGCAGACCAAGTGAAACGATGGTGGGTGACTTGAGACAGTGGCTTGGTGGAATATCCATCAGTGGAAATGATCCATAACACCAGCCAGAGATCTGTGGAGATGCAAGAATGCCTGTGCCAGCTGGCAAGACAGTTGATGATGATGATGATGGTGTTCTAAAATATGTTCTTTAGCATTTGAAAAGCTCAGTACTCTACTACCAGTGCTAAATATAGTTGCAGTTGGATATCTGAAGAAATAAACACATGCAGTATCAGACATTAGAGCAATCCTCAACTGCCCCCAAAGCTGTTTGGTAATTCTATACCAAAATAAACAGTCAGTAGTGAATCTTAAAAATCTGCCATGTTTGTGAAGGCAAGTACACAGTTTATGAGATTGGCATGTTTTCCCATTGGCATGTGTGGGCCACGAAAATGTTTGTTTGATGTTGCAGAATCTAAAAACACTGGCAAACCATCAACATCACGTGTGGCATCCACTCCATCGTCCCAAGGTCAGTACTCGGAAGAAGTTGTAGCCCGGCTCATGTCTAATGGGTTCAGCCGTCACGTTGTGGTGGAAGAGTTGCGGCGTTGCAAGGGCAACGCAGACCAGGCCTTGGCTTCCTTGTTGTCCAAGTCGTTTGGTTTGCCTTAACTGCTGTGGTGCTCCTCTCTTGCTTGTACATGTTTTATGCATCTGACTCCATGAGCCATATCTTCTCTTCTCCTTCATGTTCATCAGTTGTAAGCCCCGGCGGAAAGTTCTAGTTGTTCATCCTCTTCTGGACTTCAGTATTGTTCCTGAACCTAATGTTTTGTGTGCAGATCTGTTTTTCAGATCTGGCTATTTATATGCAGACTATTGGTTCCTCACCTTTGAGACACATGCACGCCAACTTAGAAAAAAAAATCCCTAACTAGTCGACTTTTACAACATGCTTACTATGGGATTAGTGGGTCTGTTCTTCTCCACAATTTGGCCCTGGAACACACAAGGGGACCTAGAGCCATGTTTAATAGCCCTATGATGCTATAGACCAGTCACATGTAGTGATTTTTCTTGCCTTCCATTGTGGAAGCCGTTTGCTCTTCCACAGCATGGACATTGCAGACCATCTTCAACATTGATTACCTGTTTGTGGTTTTACTTGGTTATTTTATTTTCTTCTTCTTCTTCTTCTTCTTCTTTTTCTTCTTCTTCTCCTCCTCCTCCTCTTTTTCTTCTTCTTCTTCCTCCTCTTCTTTTTATTTTTCTCTGCCTCCCTTTTCTTCTTATTCTTCTCTTCATCCCTCTTCTTCTTCTTATTCTTCTCTTCCTCCCTATTCTTCTTCTTCTCCTCATCCTCCTTCTTCTTCATCTTCTTCTTCTCCTTCTTCTTTTGCATTCACTCTTAAAAGGGCTGTTAGGGTGTCGTGAGATGCTTAGTAGATTGGTTTTTCCCCTGCCCAAAGGGTCCCAGAACCCCCACGGGGAATTATTATTTTCATAAGTTTGCCACTGCTTCCTGGATAGTACAGTGATCCTACTGTTGTCTACATTAACACAAAGCAGTCTACTTCCAAGTCACCAGCAGCTGACTTCAGTCCCTGATACTTCTCACGCCCTCTAAGCCTTAATACATTGTATTTTTGACATCCTAGATCATGTCAGTGTTCTTGTCATGCTCCATCCATGTGGCAAGGCCTTTCCCGACCCGTTTCCTCAATGTTGCCAGTCGTCACCAAGTTCTTGAGTCCATTCTTTGTCATACCATGTCCAAAAAACAGTGACTGTTTACGTCTGCATTGTTCGTTTATATAAATGTAAATATGACTCCACTTTATTTAAAAACACACAAGTCTACACCATTTATGTGTAAAAAGAAAATAATATGATATTGAAGTGCAATAATTGTATGATATGGATATAAATTATATACTATGCTGTCACATCTGTAGTCATGTACTGTACATGCAAGCACTTGATACATCTGTTCACTCAACAAGGGTGCCATATTGAAGTGTTGAAACTATGAAACATTAAATCAGTGAAGAATCCACACTTGTGGAGTCTTTTTTTTTTTTAAAGGGATTATTTGCTTTAGGTTTATTGCAGTATGGGTCCAAACGGGCCAGTGTGCTGTATGTCTTCACTGGGGCCCTACAATGTGTTTTTTTGGGGGACCCTACTATGAATCATACTTGTGAACTCTAAAATTACCTGTAGTTGATGTAGCTTTTTAATGAGGACGGAGCACTTATGGGGGTGTCCTGAGTGCTGTGAAATCAATTCTTAACTCAACATTTAACATTTTGATGAGAAAGCCCCCCCCCCCCCCCTTTTCCCTGCACCCCTTTCTAAAAAACCAAAAACAAATGTTGATTTACTGATTAAGGAATCAACATCATAATACACCGGGCACACCCATAGATGCTCCGTCTCCCATAGCAAACGACGTAAGGTGTAAATGCTAACCGTTCTCATAGCACACTGATTATATACTCACCAATCTCTCCTCTCATCTGTCCCTCTTTCCGGATCCACACTTAATTCCTTGTTTACACATTCTTGCCCATGTTATTTTATTGAGAGAGGCCAAAGAGGCTAGACTGGATTGAATCTATGACATCGAAGTGTTTCCGTGATTGCACATGATAGAAAGGTGGAAGAAAGGACTGTGCGCACTATGTGACTTATAATGACATAACAGGACAACGAAAATGAAAGTTGATGTCTTCGTTAAAGAACAGACTATGCTGCATTCACAATGTTTTGGTTGCGGCGGCCAACTATCCGGGAAGACGGATCTCCATAGCAGGGGACTGCAACTATCTACAGAACAAACTCGATAAAAGCTGTCCCCAGAAACAGAAAGTGTCAAATCCTTTTTGTGTGTGTATGAGGGGGAGGAATCGACACATAGAGTTAAATCCAGGCACCACAAAGCAACTACCCATTAACTGAGCTGAGTTAAGAACTAATGTCACATTGAACTAAGCTGAGTTAAGAACTAATGTCACATTGAACTAAGCTGAGTTAAGAACTACTGTCACATCGAACTAAGCTGAGTTAAGAACTAATGTCACATTGAATTAAGCTGGGTTAAGAACTAATGTCACACTGAACTGAGCTGAGTTAAGAACTAATCACAGCACTTGGGACATTCCCATATGCGCTCCATCACTATCTTCAGCAGCCAGCGAAGAGTTCCAATTCCGATGGTGCCACTAGCAGGCTGATTGAATGTCTGACTTGCCTCCCCCCAGCCCTGAGTGTTGAATGTTAGCCAGCTTCACTTGTCACTTCTTGCTGCAGCTATCTCATCAGACCATGAAGATTTATGTGTGCTTCAACTCTGCCTCGCTGAAGCAATTGCTGTTTACGTCTTCACACCGCCACACCCACCCCCTTTTTTTCAGGATTGCCGTCTGTAGGGTTAACAACTCAGTGATGAGAAGGAATTGTGGAGAGAACAAACAAACAGTTAACATCCGCCAGATCCCATCAGTAGACTCAACAGAAAGCAACAACAAACAATTTTCCATCTACGAACAGGACACTGCAGGTTCAACTACCACATGCATAAAATAAACAATGTACAGTCCCCACAGTGTGCCTGTCAAACAGGACCACAAACAACTGAGCACTTTCTGCAGACCTGCCCACTCTAAATACAACTTCTTGTTGGAGAAGGGGGCTGAGTGGTCTTGAGGCATGGTGTCCACCTCAAGTGCTGGATGTCCCAGGTTCAAGCCCCAGTGTTAAAAATCTACCCAAAGTATTTCAGAATCCTCGACGGTGCAAATGAGTTCGTGCACTGCGCTGAGATTCTTCAGACTTAGGCTTGAGTTAGAAAAAAAACAGAACACTTATGGTCGAATAAACATAAACTACAACTTCAGAAAGAAACCTGGCCTCAAGAGCAAAGTGTGCAGAGAAAGCTATGGGGAACCATGAAGGACCTGCTGCTGACATGTGAGTTCATAGAGGCAACCCATCTGATGGTCTGACTTAAGCAGAGGAAACTAAATGCAAAGAAGATGAGGAAAAACAGCTGCAAATCCCATGTTCAACCTTATAGCACTTATATCAGGACATCACACAAGTGTTATGAAGTAATCTGTAGTCCTGTGTGCACGTTACTGATAACCAGGGCATCATTTGCAGTGGTGAAGAGAGATTTCTCACAACACACCCACACATGGATAATCTATAGGTAAAAACTTGTTCCACACATCAACTATGAATCTCTTTTAACAACAGTAAAACATGTGCACTACAATTGTGTAACATGTATAAGAGCTACAAGTTCTGAAGGGTATGGATTCTTTTCACGGCTGTTTCGTTCGGTTCGCAAGTGCACATTTTACAGAAAGCCCTGGAGAGTGTTGCAGGAGCTACGGACTTAATGCTGTGTGTGACACTTTCGACAGGCGACTACCGTTTTCCAGAGAGATTGAGCCATGTGGGATCAAACTGGTGCAATGAAGTCGATCCTAGTGATTTTAACTATACCTCTGCTCTTGCCACAACACTATTTGTTTATCCTATTTATCCAAACATTCGAGCTGCGCTCCGAGATCCGCTCAAGACATTGTTCCCTCTCCACCTTGACATGGGACTTAACCCAAACGTGTTAAAAAATCCCCCAAACTGATTCGTCTGGGTGCCTCCATTTTGATTTTGTAAATTACTAGTTTGTTCTGTCAGGGCACTATTCATCACCTGAAGCTGCAGGTTTTGATCAAAGGCTCCGTTCTGAAACATCTCTCTTCCTTGATTCCTAAAACTGCTGGGGCTGTTCCAGGCTAGCTGTCCTGATGTAGCAGTCCCAACCTGAGCTTGATTCTGGAAGTTTCTCAGGCCGGGATTGTTGGCTGCACTGTTGGACAATAAGGGTGGTTCTGAGAGGGCAGAGCTGAAACCCAAGTTGTTACCATTGTTACTACCATCTGCTTGTCCCTGAGCTTGATTCAGAAATGGCGACTGCTGTAGCCAGGGGACCTGACCGGGAGACTGTCCTAGCTGTTGAAAGGAGGGCTGGCTAGGAAATTGTCCTAGTTGTTGGAATGGGGGCTGGCCAGAAAATTGTCTCTGTTGTTGGAGGGAGGGCTGGCTGGGAAATTGTTCCTGTTGTTGGGATGGGGGCTGACCAGGAAACTGTTCCTGTTGTTGAGGCTGACCAGTAAATTGTCCCGGTTGTTGGGGCTGACCAGGAAATTGTTCCTGTTGTTGGAATGGGAGCTGGCTGGGAAATTGTCCCTGTTGTTGGAATGAGGACTGGCCAGGAAATTGTCCCTGTTGTTGGGGGTGACCAGGAAATTGTCCCTGTTGTTGAGGCTGACCAGGAAATTGTCCCTGTTGTTGACGCTGACCAGGAAATTGTCCCTGTTGTTGGAATGAGGACTGGCCAGGAAATTGTCCCTGTTGTTGGAATGAGGACTGGCCAGGAAATTGTCCCTGTTGTTGGGGCTGACCAGGAAATTGTCCCTGTTGTTGAGGCTGACCAGGAAATTGTCCCTGTTGTTGAGGCTGGCCAGGAAATTGTCCCTGTTGTTGAGGCTGACCAGGAAATTGTCCCTGTTGTTGAGGCTGACCAGGAAACTGTCCCTGTTGTTGGAGCTGACCAGGAAATTGTCCCTGTTGTTGGGGCTGACCAGGAAATTGTCCCTGTT